GAGCCGCTCGGCGGCACGCCGAGGTTCGGCCTGGCGGACTCTGCGCCGCCCTCGCCGAGGGCGGCGGCGTGCGCGCCGCGGGCTCCCGACGGCCCGAACGGTGGCTCCCTGGCCGCCGCTGCGCGCCAGGCCGCGGGCGCCGCCCTTGCCATTTGCGGGGAGCCGCTCGAGGCCCTCGCCGGCTGCTGCCAGGATGCGGGCCCCAAGGATATGCACCACCACCAAGTCGATTCTTCCTCCTCGTCCTCCTCCTCCTCCTCCTCATCCTCCTCATCCTCCTCATCCTTCTCCTCCTCCTCCTCCTCCTCCTTTGCCCTCCTATTCCTTCCCTCTTTCCTGGGAGAAGGAGGGGGTAAGGCAGGTGGTGGTGGTGGTGGTGGTGGTGGTGGTGGTGGTGGTGTGTATATGTTTGGGCCCCGTACAGGAGCCGCTGGCAGGCACGCCCAGGCGCGGCCTGGCGGGCCCCGCGGCCGCCGCGGCCGCGCCGCAGCGCGCCGCGCGCTCCGCGGCCGCCGCCGCGGCAGCCCGCGCCGCCGCGGCAGCCGGCGCGGGAGGCGGCCGCGAGCGCGGCAGCGCGTGCGCGGCGGCGGGCGTGGAGGGCCCCTGCGCTGCGGAGGGCCGCCGCGGGCCCGGCGCCCTGGCCGCTGCGGCCCTGCGTGTTGCGGGCGCGGAGGGCCCCGACGGATCCGAGACGCCGAGGCCGCGCGGCGGCGAGAGCCGGGCGCCCAGCCAGGAGCCTTTGGCAGGCACGCCCAGGTTCGGCTTGGCGGGCCTGGCGCCGCGTGCCCTGGACGACCATCAGGAAGAGGATGGGTTCTGACGGAGATGGTGCCCTCGAGTCTTCAGCGGCGTGTGGCCCCTCAGGGCGGCCCCTCCTGAGGGCCCTTCCCAGGCCAAGGGGCCACGCGACCACGACCACGACCACGACCACGACCACGACCGCGACCGCGACCGCGACCGCGACCAGGACCGTGATCACGGACGACGACGACGACGACCACGACCACGACCACGACCATGACCACGACCACGACCACGACCACGACCACATGACGACGACCACGACCACGACCACGACCACGTCCACGACGACGAAGACGATGACGACGGCGACGACGACGCCCGCAACCACGACCACGACCGCGACCACGACGCCGCCGCCGACGACGAAAACGAAGACGCCGACGCCAAAGTTGACGCCGACGCCGACGCGGACGGGGACGCCGACGCCGACGCCGACGCCGACGCCAGCGACGTCGGCGGCGACGCTGACGGCGACGACGCCGACGACGACGCCGACGCCGACGCTGACCACGACGACGACGGCGGCAGCGGTGGCGGTGGGTGGCGACGACGAAGACGACGACGACGACGACGACGACCGCGACCACAGCCACGACCACGAGTACGACGATCACGACCACGGCCATGACGGCACTTGGGATGAAAAGCTGGCCCCCAGGAGAGCCCGAAGGCATCCAGGGCCCGTTTCCCTCGAGACCCTTCTACCCCATGGCAAGAGCAGCCCAGGCCGCCGCCGAGGCCCGCGGCAGACCCCGAGCTGTGCGTGTACGAGGACTCAGCCCACGGGGGGCAGCTGCACGCCACCACCTTCCACCGGCCGAGGACGTCCTGGACCCCAGGACGGCACAGGCCCTCCCGGTCGAGGCCCAAGATCGCATGCGCCAGCCCAGTGCCCAGGACGGCGCTGGCCAGGTCGGTGGTGGTGCAAAGCTGCCGCTTCCGAATTCAGGGGATGCCGAAGGCACCCCAGGACAGACGCGTCCCTGGAGAGGTGCCCTCGGGGCCTCCCTCGGGACGGTCTCGGCGCTCGCTGTGGCTGGAGCCCTGGCCCCTGGCGACGCTTCACTGGGGACACTGCAGTCCTCGGGGGGGGAGGTTCGTTTAGGCCCTCCCGAAGGACGGCGACCGGGCGCACGAGCTCCTCGTGATGGACGGCTCTGGCGGGATGACGACGACGACGACGACGACGACGACGACGACGACGACGACGACGACGACGACGACGACGACGACGACGGCGACGGCGACGGTGACGACGGCGACGGTGACGACGGCGACGGTGACGGCGACGGCGACGGCGACGACGGGATGAGGCTCGACACCAACGTGGCCCCCGTGAGCCGCAGGCGGTAGCACTCCCGAGCATCCTCTGCGCGCAGTATTCCTCCTGCAGGCCCTGCCCGAAGTTGGCAGGCCTGCTTTCGTTGCTCTTCTCCCTGGGTTCTTGACCCGAGCTTAGAAAGAGACCTCCACTGCACAGGACGTGCACCACAAATCGGATGCACGCTGACGCGTGCAGCAGCGGCCGCCTGGTTTTGTATAGCAGGCCGCAGCCGATGGGGGAGTGGGCGATGTACAGACAGCCCTCCTCCTCGTCATACTCCTCGCCTTTCGCACCCTCCTCCTCGTCATACTCCTCGTCATACTCCTCGTCACACTCCTCGTCTTTCGCACCCTCCTCTCTCTCTCTGCCTCCCTCGGCCCCCGGCGCTCGCGGCACCAGAGGCGAGGGCTCTCCGCAGGTTGGGTCCGCCAGGCGTTCCGCCCCGCTCGGCCGAGTGCGCCTGGGACCTCCCAACGCGCCCCCAACCAGGGGCGTGGACTAACACAGCGGCCCCCGCGCTGGCGATTCTGACGAGAGCGATGCCGAGCCCCCTGGATACCAGGACACAGATAAACCAGGACAAGGAAAACCAAGGAAACGGCACCCTTCCCTGCAAGGTCACACTTTCCAGCACCCGTAAGTTTTTTGTTTGCTGCACTGCAGGATTCGGGTTTGTGTCCAGTTTGGGGGGTTCCTGCAGGCTTGTAGGGCCTGTGTCCAGGTTCACCCTGGAAACGCTGCAGTGCAGTATTTTGTTCGTGCCGCCGTCTGGAACAACTAATTTCGAGGGATGTTGGGTGTCCGGGTCTAGCGTGTCCGGGTTTACGGGGCATGGTTCGCCAGTGTGTTTCTATTTCTCGGCCTCTCTGCCTCTGCGCGAAAGCCCAGCGAGCGAGCGCGCGCGTCCTTCCGCGGCCTTCTTTGTTCGAGGGAAGAACCGTGATGATCATGACCAAGTTCTCGCGGGATCTTGTCGATGCCGACCTTGGTCATGGTCCCTGCCTGCCGTCGCCGACTTGTGAGGATTATCCAGGAATTTTTGGTGACCGAGACGACACCGACGTCTCCCCGTTCAGTCTTGGTCATGGTCATAGTTTTCTTTCCCTCCATTTGCTCTTTGCCCCCGTGCTCGCCTCGATTGCGCCCGCCTGCCCGGAATGGGCTGGCGCGTGCGACGCCTGGCTGGCTCCCCCCCTCTTTCGGAGGAGATGCGAGTGGAGATATCGGCATCTTTTTGTTTCCCCCTTCGCTCTCTCGGGGGCGGCAAAGAGGGGGGTGATCATTAGGGGGGTGGATATCATGGCGTGGGCCGTGATATTTCTCCAGATCGCATGGCGCCTCTTCTTATCTCATTACGTCCCTGGCCCCCCACCCTGGGCCACGCACATGCCTCTGGCCATGATTTGCGCCCCCCCCCCCCCTCTTGGACGCCCCCCTCTTGGTCGCCCCTGACCCTCCTCCTCCAGAATGATTGCCCTGCCCAGCGCAGGGGTGATGGCAGGCCGGGCCGTCTCGCGCCTCGGGGAAGTGCCTCCCCTGACCGTTGAAAGCGACGGTTCGGCCTCGCGGCGTCTGCTGGCCAGGACGCCTCGGTGGCCAGCAGGATCCATGGAGGTTGGAGAGAGGGAAAAAATGCACACACACTCACACACACCCAGTGGAACACAAACTCACACACCTGGCCGGCCAATCGAGCACGACCGTTTTTTGCTGTGGACGGGTTTTGCCCCCATGAGTGGAAGCGGATTTGCCTTGGGGGGTGGGTGAAAAGCAAAACTCACACAGTGAACAGTGCTTTTGTTCCACTGTGTGCGCCTCGTTTCCGCAGTGAGTTTTTTCCACAGGAAGCGCCCCCCGCACGATCGGCCTGCAGGCCGTGCTGCGCGCGCGCGCTGGGCGCGCGGCCATGGCCTCGTGGTTCTGCGCGCAGCACGCGTCGGTGTGCTCCTGGGCACGGAGGCCAGGACGGAGCACACCTCGGCGGCGCGCCTCCCTCGCCCGCGCCGCGGTGCACGGGGAGGGCGGGCGGTGGACGGTCACCCCGAAGGCCCGCGCTGCTCGCCGCGCGGCGTGGTCGCCGCACCGTTTGGGGATCTCTTGGCTGCCCCCCTCTGCTGCCCCCTCGAGCCCGGGGCCCTCCCCAGGATCGGACTGCGGGCCAGGCCTGCGCGAGCGCGTGCGCTCACCCGTGAGCGCGCGGCCGCGCTGCTCGTGGCTCTGCGCGCACGCCCGTCGGTGTGCTCCCGGGGCACGGAGGCCGGGACAGAGCGCACCTCGGCGGCGCGCCGTCTCCCCGCGCAGCGCAAAGGGTGCACAATAGCGGGCGTGGTGGTCCTCTTCGGATGCTGCAGGCTGCAGTGCCCTTGGGAGGGCAAGCGTGAGCAAGATAGTCGTTCCCATCGTCATTGTTCCAATCGAAGGCGCCTGCCTACGGCGAACTACCACCGCCCCCCTGCCTTTTGGGAACGACCATGCGGCCAGACGCTGGGCCAAAGTCTGGCCAAGCTTTTGGCCTATGTGCTCCCTGAGCCGTTGTGGAATTCCATTGGTATTGTCATTGAAGACGCCTACGGCGAGTCACCGCCGCCCCCCGTCTTTGGAAGTGCCTGTGTGGTCAAACGTTGCGGCTAGAGCTCGGGCAGAGCTCGGCCAAGCTATCGGCCAGCCACAACCCTTCAAACACCCAAAGACAACCAATGAATTTGGCCTCTTCGGGCCTTCCTGGTGGTCCTCTTGGAGGCCTCTTGGGCCGTCTTGGAGGCCTCTTCGGCCCGTCTTGGAGACTTCCCGGGGCCATCTTGGATCCTCTTAGGTCCATCGCAGTCGTTTTGCAGACTATCTTGGCCGTATTGGAGGCCATCTGGGGCGGTCTGGAACAGAAAGCCCGACGGCCTGGGACGTTTACGGGTCTGCATTCCGTGCCAGCGCTTTAGGCTGAAGGTCCCTCGGGGATTTTTTCGAAGGACTAAATCCATTCTAACGTTCGGCACGCCGCGCACCACTGTGGCAAGCCACAGGGGGCGGCTGATCGAAGACGCCTACGACGAATCACCGCCGCCGCCAGCCTTTTCGAAACTCCCACGCGGTCAAACGTTGGGCCGAAGCCTGGCCAGGCTGTTTGACTATGTGTCCCCCAGTCGTCTGGAACCCCTTGCGGAACCCGTGCGAGAGTAGAGGAGGGAGGAAGAGAGGGAGGAAAAGGAGGACGAGGAGGCAGAGGAGGAAGATGAGAAGGCCTCCTGAGGGACCTCTTGATGCCCTCTTGGGGCCTCCTGGAGGCTGCGGGGAGCCTCCTAAAGGCATCTGATGGGCCTCTTGGGGCTTTCACGGGGTCTCTTGGGGGCCTCTTGGGGGCCTCTGGGGGTCCCTGAGGGGGCTCTTGGCCCTTGGAGGCCGTCTTGGGGCCCGCCCTGGGCAGTCGTGGGTCCCTCTTTGGGCGCTAAAGGACCGTCTTGGAGGTCTATAGGGCTTTCTTAGGGCCGTCTTGGTGGCTTCTTGGGCCATCTTGGGGCCTTCTTGGGCTGTCTGGCGGGCCTCTTGGGAGTCTCTTGGGCCGTCTTGGGACGATCTTTGGGCTTATGAAGCCGTCTTCTAGCGTCGAACGTCCGAAAACGCGAGAACGCTAAAGTTATTGAAAGCCCAACGGGCAATCAATGACGTGAGCCTCCTGGAGCTGCTCTTGGAGCCCTCTTAGGGCGTCTGGGAGCCTCTTGGGCCGTCTGGAGGGCATCTTGGGTTGTCTTAGGGCCACATAGGCCGTCTTGGAGGCGTCTTGGGACCGTCTTAGCCGTTCTGGAGGCATCTTGGAGGCCGTCTTGTAACAATCTTCGTCCTGCCGGGTGGCCAGCGCATTAGGCCGAAACCCCAGTGGGAACCCTTAAAAGACCAAACACTACCTCAAGACTGGCTCGCCGTGCACCCCTGTGGCAAGCACAGGGGGCGGCGGCTTCGGCTCATCCCGCCACCGTGAATGGGTTGTAGGTCAGTGGCCTCTTGGATGCCTGTGGGGGATCCCGTGGGATGATTTTTGAAGGCCTCGCAGAGGCGGTTTTGGGGTGTACTGGCGCCACTTGGGGACCTTTTGGGGGGCCTCTTTGGGGGGGAAGGTGGAAGGGACGGGCTGTGCGAGAATGATCCCCCACGTTGAGTAACTTCGTCAATCCTATTTCACACTGCTCGTCTTTTCCTTTGCACGCCACAGCGGCTACAGTGACCACCAGGGCGAGTGATGATAGAACCGAGCCTAGACCGCAAATCTGAACGGAACACTGCACACGTAGAGAGAAGCTCATGGACTAGCTGTCAGGGAATGCATCAATGCATCGCCCCTGTGTGCTTTTTGTCTGTCGGGGATTTTGGGGCCGTTCAATCGTGGTCCAGAGGTCAGCGCTTTCATGACTGAGGTCCTTGCAGAGCCCACCAGCAGGACTGATGGAGCACAAGTGGCAGGCAGAGGACTACCACATCCTCAGGAACAACTGCTACCATACGGCACTCCGCGCGGCACCTCCGCCGCCCGGCCTCCTCTGGAGCACGGGGGGAGCAGGGCCGGGAGAGCGGCGGGGAGAGGGAGGAGGAGGGCCCAACGCAGTGGCTTTGGCCCCCGTTGGTCCCTGGGGAGGGAGGAGGAGGGATCCTCCTCCCCCCACCCCGCTATCGCTCGGACGTCCCTTCCCCGTGTATTCTGCGGCTTCGTGCGTGATTCTTGTTCCCCCAAGATGATCCGAGATGCTCCGCGATGGTCCTCGCCGAGACGGCAGGCACACGTCCGAGCGATGCCAGGCAGACTCCCTTCCTCGGCCCGAGAGGCCCCGCCCGCCGCGGGGCTGGCTGCGCACCCGCAGCGCCACGGGCGCCCATCGTTCCTCTTCCTCCTCCTCCTCCTCCTGTTCCTCCTGCTCCTCCTGCTCCTCCTCCTCCTCCTTCCTCCTCCTTCCTCCTGTTCCTCCTCCTCCTCCTTCTTCATCTCCTCCTCCTCCTCCTCCCTCCTCCTCCTCCTCCTTCCTCCTGCTCCTCCACCTCCTCATCCTTTCTCTTCTTCTTCTTCGGGGAGATGCAGGAAAGGATGGTGATTGCCAGCGTGGGCCTCGGGTAGTGAGTTTTCGTTCTCTGGTGGTGGAAGCTATATGGCGGAAGCTGTGTGGTGGCGGCTGCGTGGTGGAAGCTTTGTGGTAGAAGCTCTGTGGCAATGCCTCGCGTCCGCAGGGAGCGCACGCTGGCGGCAAGTGGTGAATCCTCGGGACACACAGCGCGCGAGGCGGCAACGACGCGGCAACGAGGCGGCGATGGGCGGCAGCGTGGCAAATCCTCGGGACATCCACCCAGCGCACGAGGCAGCAGCGAGGCGGCAACGAGGCGGCCACGGGCATCAACGGGCCGCAACGTGTCGAATCCTAGGGGCACCCACTCAACGCACGAGGCGGCCACGAGGCGGCAACGGGCGGAAACTTGACCCATTCAACGCACGAGCGGCAGCGAGACGGCAACGAGGCGGCAATGCGGCGGCAACGGGCGGCAACGTGGCGAATCCTCGGGACATCCACCCGGCGCACGAGGCGGCAACGATGCGGCAACGAGGCGGCAACGATGTGGCAACGAGGCGGCCACGAGACGGCAACGGGCGGCAACGTGGCGGGAACGTGGCGAATACGCGCTAGACCCATCAAGCGGCACCAGGCTGCGACGGAGCGGCAACAACGGGCGGCAACGGGCGGGAACTGGGCGAACCTTCGGCGGACGCCGAAGGCGGTACCGGGCGGCGACAAGGCGGCATCGGGCGGCAACGGCCTGGAACGTGGCGAATCTTCGCTGGACCACTGAGAGCAACATGACTTTTTCTAAAGGTCCGGCGATAACCCGGGTCACAGTGCCCGCGCGCCCCCGTCCCCTCCCAGATAGCCTGACCTTGTCGGTTGCGCAGGTGGCCCGCAGGGGTTGCGTAATCATTACTGGTGCGCGGGCACACGTGGAGCTGCCCAACGCGAAAAAAAAAGGTTAGCTTATCGGCCTGTCCCCCCCCAAAGCCCCCAATCGCCCAGGTTATCACCGAAAAACATCAGCGGGTCTCTCCAAGCACTAGTTGGGGGAACAACCCTCAGACCTGACGCAGCGAAAAAAATACAACATCGCAGAAAGTCACGACTGGAGCCCCGGACCCCATTTTTCTGCGCCATTTTTCGAGCTGGATCGATTTGTGAGGGTCCCAGGGCCCGACATCGAGCGAGAACGCCAGTGGTGAAAAATTGCAACGCCAGGATCGCAGGGAAGTTCAAGCGTGCTCTCACGCCGTGCGGGCGCGGCCCCCGCGGACTTCTGCGCCGAGCTCGCGGACCTCCTGGATGTGGGGGGGCTGCCCGCGTGGGTCACGGCGCTGGCGAGCCTGGCCCTGGCGCTGTCGGACAGGGTGGCGCCTCGGGGAGTCGGCTGTGGCGAGGGGCAGGAGGAGCAGGGGGAGAAGGGGGAGGAGGGGGGAGGGGGAGGAGGAGGAGGGAGGAGGAGGAGGAGGAGGAGGAGGAGGAGGAGGAGGATGAGGAGGAGGGGAGGAGGAGGAGGAGGAGGAGGTCAGGGGAGAGTTGCTCTCGCTGGACCGCTCCTTGTAAGGCCAGGGATGTTAGACTCTCGTGTCCGCCTCAGGCTGTGGTGCAGGAGGAGGAGGAGGAGGAGGGCCTGACGATTTCGGACCAAGCGACACCTTGATCTTCGATCTTCGATCCTCGTCCTGGATCCTCTTCCCCACTTCTTCCTTTTGGATCTTCCTCCTGTTCCTCCTCCCCCCCTCTCCTCCTCCTCCTCCTCCTCCTCCTCCTCCTCCTCCTCCTCCTCCTCCTCCTATCCTCCTCCTCCTTCTCCTTATCCTCCTCCTCTCCTCCTCCTCCTCCTATCCTCCTCCTCCTATCCTCCTCCTCCTATCCTCCTCCTCCTCCTCCTCCTCCTCCTCCTCCTCCTCCTCCTGCTCCTCCTCCTCCTCCTCCTCCTCCTCCTCCTCCTCCTCCTCCTCCTCTTAGGTCCTACTCCTTAAGCGGGCCGTCTCTTGTCTTCAGCAGGGCAAGCTCGTGCCACATTAGTCCTCTGGAGGCCTCGGGATCCATGTGGCGCCAACGCTCGAGGTAGCGTTCCTTCCTAGACCTTCCCCCTCCGCCTCCTTCTACTCCTCCTCCTCCTCCTCCTCCTCCTCCTCCTCCTCCTCTTCCTCGCCTGGTGCCGGCTCGAAGTCGGCCTCCGCCATCCCGACAACTCCAACCCTGGAGGCATCGGCCCCGTGATAAAGTGACGGGCCCGCTGATGCCTCGAGCCCTCCTCCTCCTGCTCCTCCTCCTCCTCCGCCTCCTTCCCCTTCGTGGGCCACGGCGCTGGAAAACCTGGGCCTGACGCTGTCGGACAAGGTGGCGCACGGGTGGCCCCTGGCGCCAGGGTGACATGCCAGCTGGCCAATTTGTGCCCCAAGGACATCTGTGTTTCCCCGAAGGCCGCGGGGAACTACGGAAGGTTTGAAGCATTTGGGGGAGGTTGCAGATGATTTGCGCTATAGCAGTGCTTCTTATCGTATGCGCCTTCTGTAACAGATAGCCATCGGTCATTTACAGCCTCTTCCAGCACCGAGGATCGAGTATCGATGGCCGTTTTCTCCCAACCATCGTGCGTTGGGTTCTCGTTTTGGATAGAGCACTGTGGTCGACTCCTCCCGCTTCCCTCTCCCCTTCTCTCTTGCCTCTCACCTCGCTCCTTCCTGCGTGCTAGCTTGCCTCCTGCCTGGCCATCCCTAGGGGGCTGCGATCTGCGAAACTGTCGCCACTTTAGAGGGCTGCTGGGTGGGGGGCCAGCGGAGTGGGGTCCCACGCAGATTCAGATTAGACCTCGTCATCCCTGGGGTGGCTGCGATCTACGAAACTGTCGCCTCTTTCGAGGGCTGCTGGGGGGGCCCAGCGGAGTGGGGTCCCACGCAGATTCAGATTAGACCTCGTCATCCCTGGGGGGCTGCGATCTGCGAAGCTGTCGCTACTTTCGAGGGCTGCTGGGGGTCCCAGCGGAGTGGGGTCCCACGCAGGTTCAGATTAGACCTCGTCATCCCTGGGGGGCTGCGATCTGCGAAACTGTCGCCTCTTTCGAGGGCTGCTGGGGGGTCCAGCGGAGTAGGGTCCCACGCAGATCCATGTTCCTCGTCATCTCTGGGGGGGCTGCGATCTGCGAACATGTCGCCACTTTCGAGGGCTGCTGGGGAGGCCAGCGGAGTGGGGTCCCACGCAGATTCAGATTAAACCTCGTCATCCTTGGGGGGCTGCGATCTACGAAACTGTCGCCCCTTTCGAGGGCTGCTGGGGGGTCCAGCGAGTGACATCTTACGCAGATCCAGATTAGACCTCGTCATCCCTGGGGGGCTGCGATCTGCGAACCGGTCGCCACTTTCGAGGGAGGAGGAGGAGGAGGAAGAGGATGATGATGATGAGGAGGAGGAGGAGGAGGAGGAGGAGGAGGAGGAGGAGGAGGAAGAAGAAGACGAAGAAGAGGAGGAATAAGTGGATGAGGATGGAGGAGGCGGAGGAGGAGGAGGAGGAGGAGGAGGAGCAGGAGGAGGAGGAGGAGGAAGAGGAGGAGGAGGAGGAGGAGGAGGAGGAGTAGAAGGAAGAGGAGAAGGAGGAGGAGGAGGAAGAAGAAGAGGATGATGATGATGATGATGAGATGATGATGAGGAGGAGGAGGAGGAGGAGGAGGAGAGAGGAGGAGGGGGGAGGAGGGAGGAGGAGGAGGAGGGGAGGCGGAGAGGAAGGAGGAGGAGGAGGAGGAGGAGGAGGAGGAGGAGGAGGAGGAGGGGAGGAGGAGGACGAGGAGGAGGAGGAGGAAGAAGGAGGAGGAGGAGGAGGAGGAGGAGGAGGAGGAGGGAGGAGGAGGAGGAGGAGGAGGAGGAGGAGGAGGAGGAGGAAGGAGGAAAGGAGGGGAAAAGGAGGAGGAAAGGAGGAGGAAAGGAGGAGGAAAGGAGGAAAGGAGGAGGAGGAGGAGGAGGAGGGAGGAGGAGGAGGAGGAGGAGGAGGAGAGGAGGAGGAGCAGGAGGAGGAGGAGGAGGAGGAGGAGGAGGAGGAGGAGGAGGAGGAAGCCACGCACCGCCAAGCGATTGAGGCGCGTCGCCACGATTCATCGGCCACGATTTCCCACCATCCCATATTCCTTTCCTATTTTTATACTTCTCCATTGCACCCTTTGCCATCCATTATCTGTACTCCCATCCAGTATACTTACCGTGTGAGGGGTGTGCCGAAATGAGGCGGCGGTGCCATGCGGTCACTGCCACTGGGGCCTTCGGTGGAGCTCCCTTTGGGGCCACGAACCGTGTAGAAGGTGTCCGAAATGAGGTGGCGGTGCCATGCGGACCCTGCCTCTGGGGCCTTCGGTGGAACTCCTTATGGGGTCACGAGCCGTGTAGAGGGTGTCCGAAATGGGGCGGCGGTACCATGCGGACCCTGCCTTTGGGGCCTTCGGCGGAGTTCCCCAAGGGGCCACGAGCCGTGTGAGGGGTGTGCCGACATGGGGCGGCGGTACCATGCGGACCCTGCCACAGGGGACTTCGGTGGAGCGCCCTATGGGGCCACGAACCGTGGGTGTGCGGAAATGGGGCGGCGGTGCCATGCGGACCCTGACACTGGGGCCTTCGGCGGAGTTCCCTATGTGGCCACGAACCGTGTGAGGGGTGTGCCGAAATGCGGCGGCGGTACCATGCGGACCCTGGTTCCCTATGGGGCCACGAACCGTGTAGAGGGGTGTGCCGAAACGGGGTGGCGGTGCCATGCGGACCCTGCCACTGGGGACTTCGGTGGAGCGCCCTATGGGGCCACGAACCGTGTCAGTGGTGTGCGGACTGGGGCGGCAGCCATGCGGACCCTGCCATTGGGGCCTTCTGTGGAGCTCCCTATGGGGCGACGAACCGTGTGAGGGGTGTGCCGAAATGGACATGCGGAGAACAGCGGCAGGGATGGGAGGAGAGGCACGGGTGGGAGATGAGGGAGGAGGGGGCAGCGGGAGGAGGAGAGAACGCGGGGCGCTGTCTCCTCGAAACGAGGACCCAGCACAGGATGGTTGGAGATCGTCAAAACATGTCTCCACATACTCAAGAATAGCCAAACAATCGCCCCCCTATACTATTGTTGGCAATTTCTTGAATGTTCCTCCTGCAGAGGGGACATGCCCGACTTAAGCCCAGCCCTCTCTCGCTCCCCCCCCCCGGGCGCGCCGCCGAGGCCCGGAAGAATCCGCGCCCCCCCCCGCGCGGATCCGGCCACGCTGCGCTGGCCTGCCGAGGTCTCTGGCCCAGGCCCTCCTGGGAACGGCATCCGTACGCTACGGAGGCTACGCTACGCTACGCTGCGAAAGCATGCCAAGGCGCCAGGCATCACATGCAATGTATGTACAGAATGGCTACAAAAGGTCACTTTCATCCCCCTTGCTTGCAATGCTTGCCATAGTGGGCAGAAGATCCACCCCCATAATAATCACCCCGGCATCAAGGGCGTTAAAAAACGCCCCTGCCCTGGTTGACGATGCGCTGTGCGCTGAACCTCCTGTGGGCTGACAGGGTAAGCCCTGCATCTCGCCCGTGTTGCGCGGCGTCCTGGGCTCTCTGGCCTTTGGGAGCTCCTGGGAGGTTTGCCGACCACGCACTGATGACCCAGGGTAGGGGCGTTTTTTGCATCCCCCAAAGACAAGCGAGGCCGCTTAGTAAACGCACCCAAGGAAGGAATCGAACAGGGCAGGGCTGTTGAGCTCGGGTCCAAGCGGGTACTCCTCCCTTGAATCCAGCCCGTCATTTCCCTCTTGGCATCGGGCAGGTTCGTGTCGCGTCGACCCCGCCGTTGGTTCCCGACATCGCGGGGATCCTTCAATCTTGAACGATCGGCCGTTCCCGAAACGTCAGGATCGTTCAACATCGCCCGATTCTGGGTCGTCGGCGACGTTCAACGCTGAACACCCGCGGCGGGATCGCCGCGGGTCGACACGACGCGAACCGATCGTAGGCCCTCCTCTGCACAACAACCTTATGCGCATGAGCGTGTCCGCCCAGGCCGACCGCGCAGCGCCATGTTCCAGTCGCATATTTCTTCTCCAAGATTCCTGCGGCCGGCTGGGAGCGGCTCGGGTCATTCCATGCGTTGTCTGGACCCACCTTGGGCAACCTGAAATTCCTCAACCTCTTCTTCAAAATCTCCATGGCCGTTTGGATGCAGGTCGGGAACTGCGGCGCGTTCTATGCGTTATCCGCCCTGGTCATCCTCGCAATGTTGTGGATGCAACCTCAAATCCAAAGTCCGGCCTCTTTTCCAAGATGCCGGTGTTGGGTGCTGCTCGTGTCCTTCAAATGCTCTCCGCATTCTCCCTGGACAATCGGGAGGGCCTCAACTTCTTCCAAACTTCTCGGGCCGGTTGGGCACCATTCGTCAAGTTCCGCACGTTCTGTAGTTTATCCCTGGGCATCACGCATGGTCGTCAGCAGTCCTGGCACGTGCTGCTTCATGGGCTACCCCAGCAAGTACCTCACGGAGGGCTGCGTGGCAAGGGCTTCCACTGCCGTGCTCATCAACGTCGGTGGCAGCTGCCCTGGTCTTCGCTGCTGCGAAGGCTACCCCGGCATGTGCAGCCTGGCATGCTGCAAGTACACGGCCCAATCACAGCAGCAGGTGAAGGCGACGAGCGCCGTCACCATAGGGGCCCCAGTAGTGGTTCGTCGGCAGCACAGCACGGCCAAGATTGTGAAGTTTGTCCCTGTCAGCCGCTTCCTCTTCAAGGGACGCCCCCGCTGCCCCCAATCTGCCTGTTTTTCTGATCTGGGGGTTTCCTTCGTGCCCGCCCTGTCCAGCCCTTCATTATTTCGTCTTTCTGTGCGCTTCTTCTGTGCAGTTGCAGTGCAGTGCAGGGCTTCAGGTCTCCTCTTGGTTTAGGGCTCAGGGCTTAGGGTTTAGTAAACCTTATACAGCGCGTTGTCGTCGTCGGGTCGGTTTCGGGCTCCGAGGCGAGAGGACGCCGCCGCCGCCGACCACGACGACGAGGAGGGCGGGGGGAGGCGGTTCGTGTGAGCGGTGGGAGGCTGTTCGCGTGAGCGGTGGGGGGGTGCTCCTCTGGGGCCACCGCTGGTTTCGCCGACGGCTGGTTTCGCCTGGCTGGTTTCGCCCAGCTGGTTTCGCCCGGCTGGTTTCGCCGCCCGGCGAAAACAGCTCCGTCGGCGAAACCAGCTCCGTCGGCGAAACCAGCTGCCGTCGGCGCAATCAGCTGCCGTCGGCGAAATCAGCTGCCGTCGGCGAAACTGCCCGACCCGCCCGCTAGGGTCCGCCCGCCCGACCCGACCCGCCTGTTAGGGTTCGCCCGACCCGATCTCGCCCGCCCGGCCGTGCCCGTGTTTTTTAGGGTTCGTCGCGATCGGCCCGACCCGCCCGCAGGGTCCGCCCTCCGACCCGACCCCCACGCGGGTTCGCGCCGCCCGGCCCGTCCGCCCCCACCCCCCACCCTCCGCCCGCCCGACCCCCCCCCCGTCAGGATTCGCCGCCCTCCCGACGAGCGCCGCTAGTGTCCGCCCGCCCGCCCGACCCGCCGTTAGGGTTCGCGCGTGTTCGGTCGAGGGTCCGCGCCCCTCCGACAGGTTGCGCTCGGTCCAGCGCGCCCCACAATGTCCCGCCCGCCCGACCCGACCCGCCCGTTAGGTCCGCCCGCCCGACCCGACCCGCCGCTGGGGTCCGCCCGCCCGACCCGACCCGCCCGTAGGGTTCGCGCGCTCGGTCGAGCGCGCCCCACACTTTAATGTCCCGCCCGCCTGACCCGACCCGCCCGTAGGTCCGCCTACCCGACCCGACCCGCCCGCTGGGGTCCGCCCGCCCGACCCGACGCCCGTCCTCGCGCGGTGCTCGGTCCAGCGCGGCCCCACACTTTAATGTCCTGCCCGCCCGCCGACCCGACCCGCCCGTCAGGGTTCGCCCGCGCGACCCGACCTGACCCGCCCGTTAGGGTCCGCCCGCCCGACCCGACCCGCCCTTTAAGGCTCGCGCGTGCTCAGTCGAGCGTGCCCCACACTTTAATGTCCTGCCCGCCCGACCCGACCCGCCCGCCAGGGTCCGCCCGCCCGACCCGACCCGCCCGTTAGGGCTCGCATCGGTGAAACCAGCGCCGGCGAAAGCAGCGCTGGCGAAACCAGCCGCTGGCGAAACCAGCCGCCGGCGAAACCAACCGTCGGCGAAACCAGCGGGGCGAAGCCAGCGCCGGCGAAACCAGCGCCGGCGAAACCAGCTCATGCCTCCTCTTGCTGGCCTGGGTGTTCTCCTGAGCCGTTCGTTCGAGCGGCCTCCGGGGTTCGCGTGAAGGGCCGCGCTGTTCCCGCTGCGGTTCCTTGCCCTCCCCTCTCCCCCGGGCCCCCATTCACCTTGTTTTCCTAGTGCCCACCCCCACCTCCAGGGCCAGCACGACACGACCGACCCTCGGAGGCCAGTGAGGTGTCCTCCTCCTTCTCCTCCTCCTCCTCCTCCTCCTCCTCCTCCTCCTCCTCCCCCGCCCTCCTCCTTCCTCCCTCCCTCCCTCCCTCCCTCCTCCCTCCTCGCTCCCTCCTACCTCCTCCCTCCTCCCTCCTATCCCTCCATCCTCCTCCCTCCTCCCTCCCTCCCTCCTCCCTTCTCCCTCCTCCCTCCTTCCTCCTCCCTCCCTCCCTCCCACTCTCCCTTCCTCCTTCTCTTCCTCCCTCCCTCCCTCCCTCCCTCCTCCATCCCTATCTGCCGCCCAGGCTCGAGGGTTCTGCCGCGGCTCGCAGCCTGGCAACGCATCACAGCTCTCAGGGCGCTGCTGCTGGTGGCCCCTCGCACGCGGACGTCGCGACGCTCGAGGTGCCGGGCGCTGCTGCTGGTGGCCATTTGCCTGGCGGCGGCGGCGGTGGCAAGAGCGGCCCTCGAGGCGGCAAGGGCCCGCGCGGCGCGGGCAGCAGCAAAGGTGGCCCACCGCCGCCAGGGCAGCCTGCCTGGCCTGGCCCCCTCCCGCCGCCGCCGCCATGCTGGTGGTGCCAAGCGGCAAGGCCAACCCCGCCGCCGCCCTGCTGTGCAGTGCTTGCATGCCGATGCCACCAGGAGGTCCTCATCACGGCGCGTACCAGCCTGGCATGACGGACGGTATTGACAAGTCGAGGGGGCGTGACAAGTCGAGACGACGTGACAAGTCGAGGCGACGTGGCAGGTCGCAGTCCAGCAGGCGACGTGACTGGTCGCAGTCGAGAGTAAGGTTTGACGAGTCTGCTGGACGTGGTGACGATGGAGGCCGTGAGTCAGAAAAGGACGAGGACGCACCAGGCATTCTGCGAGCTGCAGCGCCGTACGTCTGCTGACGGGCCATCGGCTTCGACAGCCTTGCAGTTGAAATCCTCCATCCCTCTCTCCTCCTCCCCCCTTCCTCCCCAGACCCCCGACGTCGTGATTTTTTCAACATCGACCCCCAGAGGTCTGGACCCCTTCCCTGGGACCGGTTTTTCATCCCGAGTCGGTTTCTGACGGTCCCGAGGCCCGGCGAAGGCCCCCGGAGACCGAACATAGCGAAAAACCTCCCGTCGCGACTTCTTCACAACGCGAGGGGGTCTGGGCCCCCCCTCGCGTCGACCCCCCCTTCCTGGCCGGGGAGCGGCGCGGCCGGGCAGGTGGACCGCCTCCCGGCCGACCGGCCCGCGTGCCGGCCGGTCTGCTGCGGCGCGAGAGCGCCCGCCGCGCAGGACCCCTTCGAGGCGAGCGGCCCTCCCTCCCTGATCCTCCTCCTCCCCCTCTCCCTCCTCCTCCCTCCTTCCTGCCTCCCTCCCTCCTTCTTCTCTTTTCCGCTCCCTCCCTCCTCTTCCTCCTCCTCCTCCTCCTCCTCGTCCTCCTCCATCCCTGTTACTTTTTGATGACTCCTTCCTGTCGCACCCCGAGGCCGGTCGAAAGGGCGAGCCAGGCGTTCCGTCTGAGACTTCACCACGTATATCCATTTATGATCGTGGCGCTGGAACTTTAGCCCAGCATCACGGATGGAGGGCGGTTCGTTTCCAATATCTGGCTCTCGCTTGAGCGCCGCGCAAACTCGCCTGAAGAACTTGCAGCAATTTCAAGGATTGTCATGGTTAGCATCCCAGACATGGGGTCTTGGCACGATGTCGGAATGTCGGGGCGCAACAGTCACGTTGTTGATTCTCGGTGCTGACCTCCCAAGAATGTGCTCCGGTACGATTCAGGATCGTCATGACGCAACGGTAACGGCGATTCGCGGCGTTGAAGTTCCAGGAATGGTGTTTTGGCACAGTCTGGATTTTCAAACGGTTGTGTTCCAACGGGGCATTTCCTCCAGTGAGAATGAATCCTTGTAGGGGCCTGCAAAGAAGGAGCTTGGAGGGAAGGCTTGCTGCAATATCGAGTCTTGGGTTTACATTGGTCCTCCTTTTTCTCCTACTTCGCTCCATCCCTCCTTCTCCTCTTCCTCCTCCTTTTCTTTTTCGTCGGTATTTTGGCTCAAAATGCCCGCTTCCCCAGGGGTGATGTGGACACCGCGGATCCGCGGCCAGACCTCGGTTCTTGGTGATCTCCTGGTTGAGCATGACCCTCCTTCCACCGTGGCAGACAGGATTGTGGGTAAATTCAGGCATTTCCAGTTTTTGCCGCCCTATCTGCCGCTAGCCGCATGCCCGGTGCTCTCGCCAAGCGCAAGAGGAAGGCAGCCAAGGCCAGCAATGGCGTTCATTTCTCTTTTTCTTTTTTCTATCCTGGTCGTGTAATTAGCTTGCCACATATGATTCGCAAGGACGTGATGACGACCGCTCCAGGTCTGGTCGTTCCTCATTTGAAGGCAGCGATGAACGCGGACCCGGAATCCTGGGAACCAGACGTCGTTGGACTCATCGATGAGCGGCTCTCTTCCAAGTTCAGTGAGTTGCAGGTCGATTTGGGTGAACTCATGGCAGGACACGCCGGGGCAGCTTCTGACAATGCAATATCACTGCCCGCTGCTGCGATCAAGGTCAGGGGAGTTCCCCTTCAACAGGCCCCTGATTCGCGCAGGAAGTTCGAGTAGAAAGTCTGTGGAATAATCGATTAGGCCAGACATCGATTCCATCGAACGCAACGCCGCTTTCAAACGCAGATCGACACCATCGCTGCGAGAGTTGGTTCCCCTCGACAACAAGACGGCTGACCGTGACGTTGATTTTGGGCCATCCTCAAGTCGGTGCCCCCCTGCCATGGTGCGCAGGACCGCCGTCGTCGTCGCTTCGATCGAGGCGTGGCTCAAGACTGCTGGTATCTCTGGTGACTTCACAATCGGTGGTGAGGACATGGACAAGAAGGTATTCCCTGTCCAGTTCGCAGGTGCGTGCGTTACTGCTGACAACAGGGTGCGGTAAGTTTGTTCCGCTCTGTTTCCCCGGGAAAAGTCATGGGTTCGTTTCCCCGCCCTTGCAGCTTCGCGTTGCCCCACTCAACGTCGCGCTGGCCCCGATGTGAGCCCATTTCGTATCAAGATGGAAATCGCAGGCAAGAAGGTAACCAACATGTCGTGTGATCAATTTGTGGATCACACGTATTCTATCGACCGTCAGGATGGTTGGACTTCAGAGAGCTAGAGCCCCATGATTCGGCTGGGGCCCCAGCTTCGCCACGATCCTACCAAGTGTTTCTGGCCTGGCGCCGCGTCGGTGCAGCGTGGGTGGTCCAGAGAGTTATTGTGCATTGTCAAGCAGGTCACCGAGCCGACGGCTGCGCCCGAGTGGTCCCTGTAGCAGTTTCGGCTACATTTTCTAGCGCAAAGATGAAAGCGGCTCTCCACCCATGCCTGCTTCCCTCTTCTTCGCCACCCGGAGCGCGCGCGCTCTCCGTCGGCGGCGGGGCCAGATGGCGGCGCAGGAAGCGGCGCGCGCCTCCGCAAGTTGGGCATAGCGGGCGACATCTTCGCGATCCAAGGGTTTCATCGTGGCATTGACGGGCTCGAGATCTTCGTGAGATGGGCGTCCTGTGAAGAGATCGGGGAAAGCCATGGCCGCGTTGTAATTGCAGCCGCGGCTCCCCTTTCTGCTTTGGGTTCGCTTTCGTCTTCTCTGTATTTTTTTCTCTCTCCCCCCCCCTTCTGGGGTGTCCATGCTGAAGTTCGGCATGTCGGCGTTCGCCGCTCTGGCACGTCGTCTGGGCAGGCCCGCGGAGCGTGCGAGGAGATGCCAGAAGGCGGGGCTCAAGGTGATGCCGACCAGCGCTGCTTGGCCAACCCCGAGCAGGCTCATCCAGCTATGCCCGGGGATGCTGCGAGGACACAGTCAAAAAGATGGTCATCTAGCTCGGGCGGAGTGCTCGAGATCGCGCCGAGGACACCGCCCGCTAATGCAGCCGCTCCGCAATGCTGGCCCGTTATGGTCGAACGCCCGGGCCAAGTTGGGCGTCGCGCCAGCGACTCCACTCCACCGCGGTCGTCGACCACCCAGAGCAGCTCTCGGAGAAAGGGGCATCTGATCATGCAGCTTCCCGACTGGCCCTTCAACGCTGATCGCTCGATGAAGCCGCCGCGCGACCCGTGTTCATTTCCAGGGGGAAGGAGTGCAAGGTCACATTGGACGCGCTCATCGCCGCAGATGGCGATTTCATGGCTTCGCCGTCGCCTCCAAGCCTGCTTGAAAGGTGCGAGTGTTGGATATCTGCAGCAGCTTACTTCGTGGCGAACCAGATTCACATGAAGCCCCACGTGCAGTCGCGCGCCAGGCTTCCAGGGCCATCTGTAGACAGGACGCGTCGCTTTCATTCAAACTTCGTCACTCGTCCAGCATTGCGCTCGGTGCGAAAATAGTGCCCGTTGATCCCGCTGCTCCCCTCGCGTGCTCAGAGACTGCTCATCGCGTGGCACCGCCGAGGACGTCCCAGAGATCCAGATTGCTAGAAATTCTGGCAAGGGACGTGATCGCCCATCGTGGGGCATGGCCATGGAGGTACAGAGAAGAGCTACTATTCTGGCGCCCTCTGCGAAGCGTCTCGCCCTTCGCGTTGTCGAGGTCGGCGGCGGCGTTTATTTTTTGGCCCCGGAGAGTTCGGCTCTCGCTCTTGATTGATTGGGCGCGGGATCCTCCTAGCTGGCTCCTTTCAAGGCAGTTGCCAATCTCGGCAAGTTTATCCAGCATTGCTGCTTCGATGGCCTCCCGCCCCCCTCCCGCGGCATGCTGGGGTCGGCCCTGAAGAAAACGCCGCCTTCGAGATCGGCCCCTGGTGTTGACGGCCCTCCGCGCATAGAGTGGGCGGCTCGCGAGTATGGCGCCCAGGTGTCATGGCGAGCCTGCCGCTTGTTGATGGGCGGTCGGTGGTTGCCCATGGCGTCTGGCGACGCGCTTCGCACTTGTTTCCCGGAGGGCTGCCTGGTCTCGGGCGACGACGGCTGCGGCGTCGGTTCTCGATGCGCGGGCAGGGCGGTCATGCCGGCCAATCTCAGCGCGGCGTTCGCCCCCAGCGTCGAGTAGACCGCCTCGTCATTGCAGCGCGGCTTCGCCCCTGGAAGGCAGTTCGCCGCCGACATCCTCGAACTGGGCGCGTTCGCGAGAGCAGCCTCGACCTTGCTCGGGCAAAAGCCAAGTGCTCCTGGCTCATCGCGCTCGTCTTTGGACACGCGTATTCCATGCTGGACCAAGACTTCGCGATTTCGGTGCCGGAGCATCTGTGGTCGCCACCTGCGTTCGCGCTGGCCGCTCGCACATCGTGCGATGTCCTGGCTGCCGCGGGTAGGCCAAGGGTTTGATTTTTGAAATGATTTGGATCGGCTGTGATAACTTGTTCAAGGGTCCGCATTGTCTGGCAGTCCGTTCGCAGCGGCTGCCTCTTCCCTGCCTGGAAGACCGTAGGACTTGGTTGGAACGGAGGTCGGGCTGGAGGCGCCGTTCGCGCGCGCCGACCGCGTCGGCGGCGCCCCCCCGCGGGCGGTGGATTTCGAGTTCTTCGCGCGCGCGATGGCGGCGGCAGAGGAGCTCGCGAACCTCGGGCTCGAGCCGTCCAAGTGAGTGGTCGCCCTTCTTGCGCGCGCCCTTTCCCGCTTGCGCAGCAGCCGAGGTTCGTGACATTGACCTGCAGCTTCGCCGCGTTGGAGTGCGTTTTGGGCGGGGTTCAGCTTCGCTATCTTGGGCCATGGCTTGGCCTCGCCCTTCTCCTACGCGCGCCCTCGTGAAGCCCGTGGGCGGAGCGCGCGGGCAGGGTTTCGCCGCCCGCTTCCTCGGCTGCACCGCGGGCGCTCAACGCTCTCCATTGCGCGGGCAGGGCCCTCGTTGCGATGAGTAAAGTCGCGCAGCTTCTCCTCGCGAAAGCATCTGTCACGACGTGCGTGCGTTTATTGGCGAAGTTTCTCTTCCATCGATGGGCGCGATGTGGCGCGTCGTTTTTTCCCTCGCAGCTAGGGTGCCCCGAAAATTCAAACTCTAGGGCGTCCGTCGCGGGCGGCGCTTGGCAGGTCAGCGCCGCGCGTTCATTCGAGGCGCGCGACGATATTGGGCGCGCGCCGCCAAGTTGGCGTGAGATTCGTCGACCTCACTTGGGGGCCTCGTTGGCAAGTTGTCGCAGTCGCGCAGGCTATCTGGCGATGCCTATGTCGAACGCCTAGATGCCGCGATGACCCGACCTCCCTGGAGCAGCGGCTGCTTGGGGCTTTGTCTGCAACCGCCCGATGGCGAAGACTTGGCGCCCAGAGACGCGCATCTCGGCCGTGCTCGAGACCTTGATGGGCAGCAGCGCCGCCAACGGCGCTGACACCTGCTCGCAGCGCGTGACACATATTGTAAACCCATTGGCACAATGGCTTCCCGATCGGCTGGAGCATTTCAAATCGACAGAATGTTTGGAATCTCAAGCAGCAGTGGAGAAGCTACCCGTCGCGCGGGCGTTCGGCGCACTGAGGTCGCGGCTCGGTGGATGACCCACCTTCTGCAGAGTCTATTTCCCTGATGGCCAGAAACTGCGCACATTTGGCTGCGAGGCCAGCGAGGCGATTGTGGCCGCTGCGTCAGGGGCAGGGGTCTGAGGTGCGCTATCTCGATGGCGAAGTCTGGGGGGCGCGCCCCTCTTCCAGCTGATCCTGACCAGATGGGGGCTTGATATGGTCTCCGAGCAGGGCCTCGGGAATGTCCAGCTGGCGATCGCGATGTTTTGCGAGCTTAGGTGCTTTGTTCCACCGGAGCTTCCCCTCGCCGCAGCCCGCGGCGCGCTGAAATCTCGCGGCGTTTCTGCCCCGTCTATCCGCGGGAGAGACAATAAGCTGAACGAGGAGAGGAACGCTCCGGCGGCAATCGAGCCACCCTCGATGATTCGGACGGTTCTGCCGCGCGTCGACGAAGTTGGCTGCGAGGACTGCGCTGAGCTAAACGGTTTTTTAGAGCCAGAGCGTGTTCGCGGATG